GGCTGAGTGTTTTCAGATTGTTTTAGCTTCTCAGTGTAATAGCTTAGACGGAGACTTATCATTCGCAATAATAAAAATATGAATAACGACAATACTAAAAACATGAGGGATTTAAAGGCAATTATTTGTGATCACCTGCATTTATAACAAATGGGTGGGAAAGTTCCGGAATAATTTCCGGTCAAGGGTCGGACTAATAAAATTACAACTAGGAATTAAAATGTCAAAATAAACAGGGGGAGGGACAGATAAACCTCAAACAAGGTAGCATCATAATTATTGGGAAGATTAACATATTGCGCAATTGGGGGTTAGAAATGTAGAAATAACAAAAGTAGACAGGATGCTTGGATAAAAAAACCAAGTGAGATCATAACTAATGTGACGAATAATTGTTTATGCAATCAGGGATTAAATATGTAGAAAAAATAAAACGACAAAATAGACAGGAAGTTCGGATATGAAAATATGGTAGTGTAGACAGGGATTAAGATAAACTTAAAAATAACATGAATAAACAGGAAGTTTTGATAAGAAAGTCAATGGGATAGTTACTATTATAAGAATTACCTATTTATAATGGCCATGGCAGGGACAAGGGTTGGACGTATTTATTATGGATACATAGCATCGGTTTGAGCTTTTAGATGGCTAGTGCCTCGGCTATGCCCAGATGTCTCAATTTTACTCCCTTTGGTAGGTTTGATCGAGCCCTGTATATTATTTTGAAGGATTTTTCGAATGGCGCTGAACGTCCTGAATTGACCAGATATTCTGTCACTGAGCTATATGTTTTCGTTCTCCTTTTACTAGCCAGGCTGGATAGTGTTGACGAGAGCGTTCTTCAAGTTTTGAGTTTTTAACCGTCCCCCTGTTTATCACGGCATTTTAATTCCTAATTGTAATTTTATTAATTTGACTCTTAACCGAAAATTATTCTGGAACTTTCCCACCAATTTATTATCACTACAAGAATGTACAGCCTAGTTGGCGGTGACTTCGTCGAAAAGAAAATTTTCTTCGCTGCAGCTGCCGTTTTATTATTCCCTATGTTCAAATGTGTATATTCCGTTATTTGATTCCTTCACCTCCCCAGTCATGCATAGGGCTTCACGTTAGAGCCTCTAAGTTTTGGTTGGGGGGAGCCGCTAACCTCACCTCCAACCTTTCCTGTTTACCAGCCTTACTACGGGCTTAGTGAGGTGTCGAAGGTCGCAGATAGAACTCTGGAATACTAATGTAGTGAGAGCTGGCTGCTAGCCAAAATCGGTCGACAGTAATTGACGTCAGTGTTTATGTCCCGAATATTGGTGGTGAGAAAATGAGAACAAAGGCTGTGCTTGGGCGGATACAGTTAGCATATGGATGATCTGACACAGCCACAAAGAGATGCAAGGTTAACTTTCTGTGAGAAACAACCAATCAAAAGACTGTATTTTCTACTAACAATAATCTACAATAATGTACATTAAAATCTATAAATATGTGTTGATTTTCCTTAATAATGATCTGTTGCCTGGCCCTTGTCTTCTGTTGTTACACTAACATACTTAAAGACAAAGTACTGTAAACTTCAAGTTACGGAAGTACTGCCTTACTGTGACTCTAAGGAAATGTTATAAAGACTGTTGTAAGCATCACTTTTAAGCAAATGGAACTGTGTTAAATCATGCAGAATGTTGTCCTCAGAATAAAGTCAGACAATATATATGTAGAGAATCACTTCCTTTAGAGTTCAGTGAAAGGGCTTTGTCTATCAGTGACTATATCATCGGTAATCTAGACTATGAGAATTTATTGAATGGAAGTAACTGTTTATACGAACGAGTTGATCACGGATTGATATCAGTTAGAGAACCATTGAAAACCAGCACGGAGTACTGGACAGCTGTTCCGGCAGCCTAGTTTGGGAATCCTCGGCAGTACGCACCCACTGGGGTTCGAACTCAGGTCAAAAACATGCCAAGTACTGAATAAGGCTGCAATAAAACTATTTATCTAACTGTTGTTTAATGCTTTAAAAATGAATGTCTCTGAATAAACTGTGTGTCAGAGAATTATGCCTTTCAAGGGTTGGTTTGCAGGGATTTGATTGGTTTCAGGACCTTTATCATGGCCTGACATCAGTTAGAGAAGCACTGGAAAACCAACGGAGAGTAATGGACACATGTTTCACCAGCCTAGTTTAGAACTCATCAGCAGTATACGTCTGCTACCAGGGTTCGAATCCAAGAACCTTCAGTTTCAAGGCAATCTCGTAGATCATTGAGCCACCGAAGTCCAAAGCAATGGCCCGTGAATTCCAGATTTCGCCAATTCACGATATAGCGCGACTGGTACTAGCCAGTGTCATTCTTGGCGAGTATTTATCCTCAATCCCAGCCACTGGGTGGATACCCCAATTGTCACGACTTCTCACTAGAACTCAGGTAACTACCTACCTGAATAGGAACAATCGCTAGTGAGCAGCAGATTGATTTTCAACTGTTGGTTTACAGGGATTTCTTCAATGAACGAAATATATTCCCATATTGAATCATAAGAAAAAGGCATAAACAGAGAAGAAGAAAATTTTCCCTTTCCGGCGATTCATTTTCATTAGCTGCTGTACAATCGTAATTATATTAAACAAAGAAATCTTTAGACCAATCAGATACTGGTAAACCTTGTCGCTGAAAAATGTGTTACATAATGTAAGGTGTAACCTAGAAGGGATGACTTATTGTAAGTTAGAAAAGAGACAGAAGATGGCATGACGTAATCAGTATGAGATAATGACTAGTCAATAAGCTCTGGTAGAATGGACAGGAACTAGTGGAAAGACGATAAAGTGTTTTTATGTAAAATCTGTTTGAAAACGCAATGTTATTAATAAACAGTAATAGAGTGGTAATGAAATATGGATGATGGGAATAATAATGACCATAAAATAATAGTAATAATAATAATAGTAGTAAACTTACACAATAAAAAAGAAGAAGCAAGATTATAGTAAGAACTTTACTCTGGCCACGGTTGGGCAGGAGAATGTATGTATCGCTTTTGAATGCAGTGGTCTGGTTTTAGATCCCGAATAGCTAATGCTTCAGCTATGTACAGGTGATGTATGCGAAGTCCCTTTGTACGATATTGAGGGACTGTGTGTAGCGCTGTGGAGCATTCATGCGGGAATTCTCGATGTCAGGAGATGACAAGGTGTTCGAGGATAGAGCTGCTGCTTTTCTTCTTTTTTCCTCTGTCTTTTTTCTAACTTACGATAAGTCATCCCTTCTTACACCTTACATTATGAAACACATTTGTCGAGGACAAAGTTTACCAGTATCTGATTGGTCTAAAGATTTCTTTGTTTAATATAATTACGATTACTGTACAGCAGCTCATGAAAATGAATCGTCGAAAAGAAAATTCCCCTCTTCGCTGTTTATGCCTTTTTCTTATTACAGGGATTTGACAATAAGTTTGGCTGCTTTGATGTAATTAACTCAGACTAAAATTATGATCAATGATTTCATTCATTGTATTACAAATAGAAGACAAGGTGTTATTTTTAGGGAGTGCAGTTACTAGTCTCATTCTCAACCTTCCCCCTTTTTTCCCTTTAATTTCGTCTAGTAAACTAGACTAGGTTTGAAAGTTTGTAACCTGGGTGTCAAACCCCTTCCACTCAACTTCCGACACATATCCACGGATCTACTATAGGCGACTAGCATTTATAACCCCGTCGGATAGGTCGATGAATCACCTGTCAATCTACCTACCAAATATGGAATGTCATTAGACTACCGGTGGTAATCAACACGATCATATTGACCTCTGTTCATTACCTTTTTGACATTAAGTTGTACTGTACACCTGCTTTGTCTGTAGTGGAGAGACCTCAAAAAATTAAAGTTAAACTAAAGGTGTGAAATATTCTCTTAATAATTTAGATAAAGCAATAAGAAGTCGTAATTTGTCTGAATCGTGTAATGTATTTGCGCAATACATTTCGAACAATCTGATCCAGCAAACACGGACTTGTCATAGGAATATATATGAAATTAATAAAGAGGTAAGAGGTGAGAAAATAGACAAGTTAGGTCACGTTAAAAGGGCATATTCAAGGTTAAAGTAACAATGAAGACCACTAAACCAAATAACAGAGGTAATAGTACATCTACTATGGTGTCAAAACAAAATTTACCAAGGAAGGTTTAATGTGATGACGAATTGTTGGTTTGATCGCATAAAGGTGGTTTAAACTACCTAATTGCTAGCTAGGGCTTCCACAGACTTTAGGGTACGCCCCAAACACGTTCTATAGATAGGTTTACAAGATCTGTTAACGTCAATTTTATGTCCTGTCTCTATAATATGTTTCGCAATAGAAGAGCTAGGTCTCCTGTTCTCACCGTTAATAGGTTCTGATGATTCCATTTGTTTCTGGAGCCATTTAGGAATATGCTCTGAAGCCAGCCCTTAGTTGCAGAGATCGATGAGTCCTCCCTATGTGTGTGTGTCCACACGTACATTCAAATTGGTAAATACAGTGAGATGTGACATCATTTTTCGCATGTTCGAAGGGCTTAGATAGATATGTTGGCTTTACATTCTCTATTATTATGATATTGGCTGCATAAAAAGTCTTTTTGACAGCAGCGTTCAGTCTTTGTTTAGTTATCAAGCTGCTATGATGCCCCACATGGGGTAGCTTGATATACATGTCTTTCTTAGGGGACGAGTTGGAGAGTGGGTCTTGGTGTTCTGACTGCTTTATATTTCCTGATGAACTTGTCTGGATAATTGTTATCAACCAGAGTTTGTGTCAACTTTCTTTCTTCCTCATCAAGTGTGTCTTCAGTGCATATTCGTTGGATTCTACTGAAGAGGCATATTACTAAGGCTCTTAATAATTGCTCAATAATTAATTCTATAAGACTTTAAAACCAATATCTTCTTAATGAAACAACTTGTTAACTGAGATTGATTTTTTTATTTTTACTTCTTTTTACATGTTTCAGTGTTAAAATTACCCTATCCTGAGGTTAGAATGCATTTATGGAGTAAAATGCGCATCATCCTTCGATATATTTATCAATATCGTGATGATTATGATTATTTCTTGAAAACTGATGATGATACTTATGTGATTGTCGAAAATTTATTAGATGTCTTACAAAATTATTCACCTGATATGCCTTTTATGCTGGGGCATAGATTTCCTGTAAGTAAAGTATTACTATTGTTATTATTGTTATTTTCATTAAACTTCACTACTCAGTGTTTGCCTCTTTAAAAAGACACGCTATTTATTTGCATAACACCATATACTACTGATTGACTCAAATGAGTAGTTGCATGCCACTCACATCAACCAACACTGTGCTTGCTAACCAGAGAAATCGAACTGATCTGAACACCAGACAGCTGTTCCTCTAGTTTGAGACCGAACTTATTAGATGTGTTCATGGTTAGACTCAGCCCCCCAGAGGGGAATTAGTTGAAACGAACCAATATTTGTCTAGCTATTCAAGTATTGGTTTGTAGGGATTTGATTGAGTGGTTACAGGATTTCATCATGAGCTGACATTGGTTAGAGAACTATTGAAAAACCACCAAGGAGTACTGGACAGCTGTTTTATCAGGCTAGTTTGGGACTGGCTCTTCAGCAGTACGCTCCTCCCGACAGGGATAGAACCCAGTACCTTCTGATTACAAGGCAAGCTAGCTCGAAAGGTAAACGACGACTTCGGCTTTGGTTCGAGGTTAACATGGAGAAGAGACTATAGGCAAAAGTAGTCTCAGCTAAAGAGGGCCGTGGAGAAGGGATTAAGACGGAGACGTTCTGCTGAAGCCATATTTTCTTCTCTTGGAACTCAAGTGAACAATAATAATGACAATAACTGTATTTTCTGTGTATATTGTATGTAGAAGGAAGTGAGGATGGATTGAACAAGCGTTGAACACACCTTCATGCAACATCAGATGGTAGGCCTTAAGTGGATCCCGATTGGAATATGATGAGTTAGACTTCCATCGATATGGTGGAAAAGTTCATTTGGGGAGCTAACAGAAGTCTGTAGGCATTCACGCAGCCAGTTGGAAGTGATGGCAGAGAAACGAGTACAAGAAAAAACAAAAAGCACTTACATGAGGCCCTATATTCGGCTCAGAAAGCACGTAATCAGTTGAAATAATAATAATAATTTGTACAAATTAAATTGGTTAGTAGTCTGTAATTTACACAATTCAAGAAGGTGAAACTTCACCGTAGTTTCATTTGGGAACCACGTTATTCTGACCACAATATGCGATCTGCTTGATACCACCATAAATGGTAATCAGGAAAGCAAGCAAATCTGCATAAAATTATATATACTACTAATTTATTGAGATGAGCAGTCACATACCTCTCATATCAGCCAACAGTACATATTAGCCAGTGAAATCAAAGTGATCTAAACAGCAGATAGCCATTTCACTCATCTGAAGCCGAGCTTATCAGCGATGTATCCGGTTTGACTTAGTTCAGAGAGCCAAACCATCACTTCAACACAGCCCGATTTCACCACTCCAACTGCGTAAATTGCATATTATGAATTTGATTTATGGCATGACCGATTCCACCAAGTCGCTAGACAAATTGGTTACAGGATTTCATCATGAGCTGACATTGGTTAAGCGAACCATTGAATAACCAGCTGGGAGTACTGGACACCTGTTTCGTCAGCCTAGTTTAGGACCGCCTCTTCAACAGTACGCTCCCCCTGACAGGGATAGAACCCAGCACCTTCTGGTTACAAGGCAAGCCAGCTCGTAAAACATTAAGCCAATGGGACCCGATCCAATGGTCAGCCAGCCCATGAATTCTAACTTCTGCCGATTAACGACATAGCGCTACCGCTAGCCAATGTCTCCGGCGAGTATTTGTCCTCACAATCGACCTGCTGCACCCCACAAGTCACGACTTCCCAATAGAATCCCAGGTAACTACCTACCTGAATAGGGCAAGTCGCCAGCGAGCATCTCATCGATATTCAAGTGTTTGTTTGTAGAAATTCGATTGATTGATTGGTTACAGGATTTCATCATGAGCTGTAACCAGGGCGTAGGGTTGAAGATTGGTAAGAGGTTAATGGTGATGTGTTGTCAAAACACACAGTTATTAATGTTAATCAACACATAAAAGAAGTTGAATAAGTGTATTATAGTTACGCAATAAGAAGAATACTTTAATGGGTGAGCTGTGATTAGGGTGCACATAGAAACGATGGAAAATATGGAATTATGTAAGAGTTCTAAAAACTACAAATGTTTTAAGGAGTTAGAAAAGACAAAAGCAGGCGCATAAACATCAAATCAGTAGAAGTCAACACTGTTGTTACCATGATAGTGCAAGTGGTTGGATGATTTTCTTTTGTATACATAACTCTGGTTTCTCCAACTGAATGATTAAAGCTTCCGAAATACAAAGAAGACAAAAGCGTTTGTTTTTGGTAGGTTGTTCTTCATTTGGTAGATCACTTGGAAGGAGGCGTTTGTTGAGATGAAATGACCAGTGTTGACGAGATGTTCGATTATCGGACTCCTTATACAGACATTATTAACTCTTGCAGTCATACGGGATAGTGTTCTTGAATCCTTTTGAAGAGGATACGCATCGAACAACCAATGTACCTGACTAGCTCCACAGCAACATGTGAACAGATATATATACGCAGAATTGGCCAGATGCGGGATCTTGTCCTTTAGGCTTCTGCCTGTCAAAAAACCACTGACTGGACAACACTACTCTCAGTGTTGATGCGAAGAATGTTCTTTTCAAAGATGCTGAAATTCTTCTGTTGGGTGAGGATATTGCAAGCTAAGCGTCTCTTGAAGTCCAGATTCATGTGAGAGTATCTTTTTTGAAACAAGTGATGTTTCGTTCTTCTGGACTTTTGGATCTTGTCGACGAATCTTGGTGGGTATCCATTTTGGATGAAGTTTTTTTTTCAGAAAATCCAGTTCACTAATATTCAAGGAAAGTTCTAGAACATTGCTTTTGAGAACTGATATTATGTATGAATCAAATTTTCAGTTTATACAGATCAAGCTGATTAATTCACCACAGTTTTCCATCGAAACGAAAACTATTCATATCACAACTGTATAGATTGTAGAATGCGAATTAACTTGCAAATTATGAATTCAATTTATGGTATAATGAGTTCGCTCAAGTGCCTAGCCACAGATCAGATAGTTTGAAGTGATTCGACTTTCTAAGTTGAGTCACACGGAGTACACCAGCGATGAACTTAGCCCCAAATGATCGAAACGGCCATCCGATGTTCATGTCACTTCCAGTGGTATCCAACTACTCGTGTGGATCATTCAGTAGTATATTGTGATATTGTGAATAATTAGTCATTTTAACTGATTAAAAATTAAAATTTTCATAAGGATGATTACTAAACAAAGAATACTCTTTTCGATAACCTGCTGTTCATCAGGCTCTACAGTGCGTCGGTGGCACAGTGGTTAGGACGCTCGCCGACCATGCACATGGTCCGAGGTTCGATCCCCTGCCGACGCACACCCGATATCTAAGGTCAGCCTGCAAAATTTGGGCTACTGATATCACATGCTGAAAATTCCATACTTGCACCAAAAAAACTGTCTGGTTTCAAGCTATAACCAAAAAAATTAAAAAATTATATACATCATAGTAGTGAATGAATGAATTAGTGTTAGGAACAACACTAATGTTGTTTAAATAACATCGAGTCAATAATAATAGTAATATAAATGGATTACAGTTCAATAGCATCAAAATCACAATAAACTGAATATCAGAAAACTTTGGAAAGATAATATTACAAATTCATGAATTCATAATCTCTGCTGAAGACCTGCCAGGGCAGTAGTAGCGGCTGGACTTGCTTCTTCTTATGCACACGAAGCACTGATTGTTTCACGCGAATCATGATAGCCACTGCTGTTTGGAACATGAGGTATCTCGATGTTTTTGGCGATTTATATGGTCGGAACTCGATAGATGATAGAGAAGGCTTCTTCAATGCTGGCTTTGTCACTGGTCAGTTTGAAAAGGTAGTCTAATATCGAACTGTTGATGTTTTTCACTACACTTTTATCTAGCCACAGTGGTAGGTCTTCCCGAGTGAGCACGAAAATTCTAGTTTCTAGAGCAACAGTCAATATAACTCGCCCCACCATAGGCGCAATTGAATTGGTAGATACAATTAGAAGAAGTGGCTAGTCTAAGTACTTTATCTTTCAGTCGAGGAATCACCATCGGTCGTTTAGAGAATAAGACCTGTAGTTCGCCAGCATCAAAAGTTCTTTGAACTGATTTCCTAAATCGCTTCGTAATTATTTCACTAGATATATCGCAGTCGTATATAAAGAGGCTTCTTGTTTACGGATAGTGAGTTGTCCTTTTCCGCTTTCTTTGTCATGCGTTTCTTGATAAATTTTTCGGGATGGCTATTTTCAATCAAGGTATCATATACAATGCCCTATTCATCTTCACTTACTTCTTCTGAGTATATAGCTCTAACTCTGTAGCTGAGGGTCTTTACTAAATTTCTTTTGTACTGGAGAGTAACGAAGCTGTGAAAATGTGTGTATACTGTCCTGTCCAAGTACTTTTTCTAGGCAGATTTCTTTTTATACTATACTCTTCACCCTCCCCTCCACCCCTCTTGGAAGCTATGTTTTTGACATATCTTCTTTGCTTTTTTTTCTTCTTCATAGGTTAATGCTCGAAATGGTTATTTTTCCGGTGGTGCAGGTTATGTCCTGTCAAGAGAAGCATTAAAATATTTAGTTGAAAGGTCTATTGATAAACATCCCTATTGTCCAGTTTATGATGAGAATATGGAAGATGTAAAAATGAGTAAGTTAGGATTTTTAAAAATGTATACAACTCTATCCCAATCTAAATTGTTGTTGTTGTGTGCATAGTATATAGATAGTAATGCTACGAGCTGAAAAGACAAACTATACGGTTATACGACTCGAGTCGACTATAGGACAGCCACCTTTCAGACACTGTGTTGACTTAGTTATGAGCTTTAGTCACATATCAGATTATATTTCCAACTTTCTGTACATCTCTGTCACGTGAGCACTAGTGTAACAAGAGGAGACTAAATACGGAATACTTTATTAGGAATTTGATATAAATATAGGGAAATTATGTATAGTATGTATTAAAATCGTCATTTGCGCAGATCCTCAGTGTGGTGCGCTGATTCTGCCCTCCCTTAGTATTTTGTGCTTCTTTGTCTTCTTTTCGTGTCTCGCATGTTTTGCCGCAGTAGTGGTTCATTTCCTCTCTCTCTGACATCAAATCTATCTGTCTGCTATTTGATACCTTTGTGCTAACGAATGTCTCTTTATTTGTAATTAGTAGTGTTCTCTGAGCTGGTTGGTTTAATTGCGGAGCTGTCGTCGTCCTTCTAGACATCTTCCTTGCAATATTTAGCATAAAGTGAAGTGATTTAAATTTTCCATGAGAGATAGAATTGAGTATTCCGGTAACCGTGTTTACATTTGTATTGATCAGTTTTTTATTGACTTGGACTTTAAACTTTCTCGTCATATGATTTACTTTTTGTTATTTGGTATATTTGGTCTATATTAACATGTTTGTTAATCGCATATTGACTTGATGCACCAGGCTTCTAGGAATTCCCTGGCACTATTGGTGTTTCCTCTGTTTAAAATTTCGACATTATCCCAATCAAAGCGACGTCCATAATTATCTGTATGCATTGATATGAAACAGGAATACATAAATCATGTCTTTTCATCACAGCTGATTTGTGTTCCTGGATTCTGATTCGAAGGGGACGTCTACTTTGGCCTATGCAATGTCTGTTATAGTTCATACAATCTATTTTGCAAATGGTATTAATTTTATCTCCTTTTTCTGTTGGATCTTTCGGTTTGCACAATATCGAATGAAGTGATTGTGGTGGTTGGCTGACTTGTGTGCCATATCTATTTCAAACGGTTTCAATATTCTAGCTGTTATATATATATATACTACTGATAAATCTTGCCAGTAGCACTCGCCACACTACTATATTAATCGGAAAATATTTAAATTCGTCTCAACAATACTTATTCATTTGTTTCATCCCTCCAGATAAACAGAATTATAAGGTTTAAAACACTAGAACAACGGGCTTCAAGCTACAGCTTTAAAGTTTCACTGCCAGTGGTTTTATTTCAGCAGGGTTGAGTTTTCTAGCCTCACGTCCAATCTTCCCTCTTTGCCAGCCTTACTACCGGTTTAGTGGGGTTTACGAGTGTGTCGGCCTGTAATAGAACCTCCAGAGCACGTGAAGCGTGACTGGAGAGCTTTCTACCGCTGAACTAACCACGTCCAGTTAGTCCACCTGAGAAAATTGGTTAGAGTTTGTATTAAAAGACAGGGTCTATCTGAGAAATGTGATGTATTTATGCAATATACTTTGAACAATCTGGTCGTCATACAATGGCTTGTCAAATCAAATTATGTGAAAACCGAAAACAGCTTAAAGGCTGTGCGTGAGGGGCACAGCAATTAGGACGCTTGCCGACCATGCACATGGTCCGGGTTTCGATTCCTGGCGGACATACACCTATCATCAATAGTCGGCTTGCTAAATGTGGGCTAGCGATATCACATTCTGAAAATTCCATACTTGTAATAAAATACTGTGTGAAATCAAGCTGTAATAAAATGAAATAAACAAAAAAATAAAGTAAACGAAATGGTGGAAGATTTAATGAACAAGCATAATTAACACTACTATTGGTAATATTTCAGACAGGTTGACAGTGAACGATTTTGGAAAGTGCAGTCGGGATGCATTCGCCGACTAAAATTAGTGCTCCGAGAGAGGCTCGAATTCTCGACCTCCTCATTATAAGTACGGCGCTCTAACCAACTAAGCTACCGGAGCACAAAAAGCCGGCAACACCCGGTATTCCCAGCCGGTCACCCATGCAAGTACTAACCGGGCCCAACGTTGCTTAACTTCGGTGATCGGACGAGAACCGGTGCTTTCAACGTGGTATGGTCGCCGACGTCGGTGGTATAGCGGTTAAGACACTCGCCGCCCATGCACACGGTCCGGGGTTCGATCTCCGGTCGACGCAATCCTTCACCTAGCTGAGCCAGAAATAATGCTGGTAAAAAAAGGAAAGGTTGGGCATGAGGCTAGCAACCCCATCCTGTAAAATAAACACTCTTACAGAAACTTCAAGCCACTGGGGAACGTGAAGGAAAAAAAATTGGTAATATAATCAGACAAGAATTCCCAAGGTAGGTAATAGTGTGTTTTTGTACACACGCGTGGAGGGGTTGGTCAATTTTACGAGTATCTATCGCCTCAGCATATTTTAGCAAGCACCACTGAATTTTCTTATAGAAAATCTTGAAAGCTGTTTTGACATCAAGCCTGTGATTCCTAACAATTAAGTGTCTTGCCATAGACGTATGTGGTATTCTGCTTGCTACATCTGTTGATGTTTGACGGATCAGTCGTCCTCCAACCCTAACATGCACATAGCAGATATTCCTCCCTATTGAATAAGAAGATTCAGCTAGATAACGAGTGTAAAGGTGTTGAACAAACTGTTACATCTCTTTCATTCTATGGCATTAAAATAAATGAATTTGAATCAAACTTATTCAGTAGCTGAGTGTTATGCCTTAGTTATTATAGTATTTTGTCAGCAAATCAGAGTCCACTGCTTTAAGTATTATCGTAATGTGGGTCATTAGTCCATTTTCTTTTTTCATTCAATTCGAACATTCCCGTTGATCGATTGAACCGAAGTGTTCGGCCTCAGGTTGATATGTCGGCTCCTTTAAGCAGATGCTTCCACGATGTCTGAGGATTTTACTTGAAGTAAATTGGTGGATGATGACTAGCGGTGGGATTCAGGATGTGTATTTCGTCTCACTATTTGGGATTCTTCCGCCAGTGAGTGAGTGATGGTGTTTCTACTGCGGCTCGAACTCGGTACCCATTGGTTCATCCATCAACACGTGGATGACGTTTTGGTATTTGAAACGGTTGGCACTGGATTCGAGTCTCACTGGGAACATCATCACTTACTCGCTCACTCACTCACTGGGCGATACAGATACATCCAGTTAGCTGATGGACGAATCCCAAATAGTGAGACGAAATGTGCATCCTTGTGGATTCCACTATTAGTCACCGTCCGCCAAATTAGTCTGTCTCACCAACAATACAACCTGCTAGACATGTCTAAGTTGTAACAACTAAGATTAGAAGTTGTTATGGCTAACTTCTGTAAATGTCATGATAATGAAACCAAATCAAATGTATTCAGCAGTCACACTAACTGTGTACGCTTATTAATACTGCAATTTCCAAATGTAACATAGCCAGTAAGCAAGCAGTGAATAAGAATGAATCTGAATGCTTTCACAGAATATGCCGTCTTTATGAAAACAGAGAAGATGGAGGTGATGAAGACAACCAATCACCATCAACGGGAGAGATTTAACAGGGGTTGCCTCCTTCGCTCATCTGTGAAGCACCGTTTCAACTACAGGCAGTCGGAACGAACGAAGATGTCAAAGTTAGAATCGGAAAGTCAAGATACGCCTTCATCAACCTGAAACCAGTTTAGAAATCTCCTGCACTCACTCAGTCAGCATAAAGAACAAGATTCGGATTCCCAACACAAATGTCAAGTCGGTCACTGCTTCTATACGGGTCAGAAACTTGCACTGCGAGTGCGTCACGAAAAGGATTTCCAACAGCCTGTTGCAGACTTTCATCAAGAGCTGTCTTTGCTAGCTCCATACTAAAGATCAAATGGCCAGAAAGAATTAGCAACAAGAAACTATGGGAAAAAACCAACAAGCAAGAGCCGATCGCTCAACAAATATGTAGGAGAAAGTGGAGGTATATCGGGGATACATTGAGGAGGCTACCGGATGACATCGCATGCCAGGCCCTCGAATGGAATCCAAACGGGAAGCGACGAGTGCTTCGTCGTTGCGAGGGTGACATGGAGGAGATCATGTGAGGAAGAGATGAGAGAGAGTTTGGTCAATCGTGGACCCAGATGAAGGGGACAGCAGAAAACAGAAAAAAGCGGAGGTGTTTTGTTGAAGCCCTATGTTCTACTCGGAACGCAAGGGAATAATAATAATATAATGAAAATATTACTGTATACCTTTATTGATCTGGTATACGTTTTCCTTTTTTGATGTTACACAGACTTAAAATTTCCTAATTCAGTGGAATTATCTATCACACGACCGGTTGTCTAGATTAGTTTGAACAAAGAATGAACAAACACATTTATATGACTAATATGAGTTCATTTTTCTTCACAAGTTCTTGTCAACTACATACACCCTTAATAATATCAAAATGTAGGTTGCAAAACATTTGAACGATCCTTCTATCACAGTGACATTGAGTTACTGATAGAAAGTATAGGCACAAATAATTCCGAAACGACTGTATAAGTAGACGAATTATTCCGTGTGTTAACTATTTATGGTATAATTTAACAAGAAGGTGAGAACAGAGTTGAAATTTTGCATAAAATCAAGAATGGATTATAGACAGGAAGCAAAATCGAACAGGGGAAGGAAATTTATACATAATATAATGGAAATTTCAAGACTAAGTGTGAAAAGTCAGAAAGGAAAATTATAAGAGAGACAAACAATTAAGTAAATTTGTAAACTTAACAGTGAGTTCAACTTAATAAATGAAAGGAGACCAGTAGTTCAGCTAAGAGTTTCTTTTTGGTGAATTCATTTTCACAGCTGTACAATCACAAATGCATATATGGTTATTTTGTATGTGTGAATCATCTCAACAACAAACGCCTCTTGCTTCAAAGTAATCTACAAAGTGAAGAACAACCTTCCAAAGACAATACGTTTCCGTCTTCTTTGTACTGCAGAAGCCCTAGCCACTCAGTTATTAGAACCAGAACTATGCAAACAAAAGAAAATTATTCAACCACTTCTACTATCATGGTACCAACTCTATTAATTTGACTTAACTTTTGATTGTTTGCTTATTCTTCTAACTAATTGAAACTCTTACGTAATTCCGTAGGTTATTTTGTTTCCATGTTCACCCTGAGCACAACTCTTTTAGCATACTATTCATGTTATTACGTAACTCTTCTTTGACAATCGTTTGTGACAACTAATCACTTCTGCTACTGCCCTCTTGTATCAACATCCAATTCCTCTGAACGCCTTTTACATTTCGTAACTCTATCACAAACTTACTTATTGTATTTTCGTTTGACAAATTTAATGTACACACATACAAAACAACCATATATATATATAATATATATTTATGCGGTTGTACAGCTATGAAAATGAATTCGCAGCCGAAAAGAGACTCTTCGCTGAACTACTGGTCTTCTCTCTATTAATGTCCGAATGGGAATTTTTGATAAATCAATATTAGATAGAATGTCACCTAAGAAAACAAAACACACACAGATATAAAACACGAACAAAATATTTACAGTTACCAGGGTAGTGAGAGCCTAGTCACACTATTCTTCTGTATACAGAGATTGGGTTGAAATTTCGATGACTGCAATGGCTTCTGCAAAACAAAGTCGCCAGAGTTTTCTTTGTACTTAGATTAGTCTGAAAGTTTGAATAATTTCACTTGTATGTCCCGTATCAAATCAGGTATATATGGTGATTGTGATTTAGAACACTTTACTGCCTGTCATGAGGAGAATTTTAGGGATATGCTTATAAAATCTGGTAGACGCTTTCCTCTTAATTCTTCCGTGTACTTGCTATCGCAAGTGCAAGTGAATTGGTGAATGTAGTTAGCGTTGACATGAGCAAGATAAGTATCTATTTGTGACTGTATTGATGAACATAAATCTTCCTAGCACAGATTGCAATTGGTTTTCCAATTTCGACATGAATATATCTGCCAACAGACGCCCAAGAGGGCTCCCTATTACAACACTGTTGACTTGTTTGTGTACAGATTCACCTTCCAAGAAAAGGCTATATAATAGTTATGTAGATGATACACTCATTATTAGTGATAATAGCAAGTCTATTGAAAACTTTATTACTCTATTTAATCATATTCATCCAAATATCCAAGTGACAAACTCGAATTCTTGGATATTTCAGTGGTTAGGAGGGATGACGCAGCGACTAATTGATCTATTTTTCGTAAACAGACAGGGAGTAGACAATATCTTGATTTCAACAGTTTTGTTCCTATCCAATATAAACGTTCCCTAGTGAAATGCTTGTTTTCAAGGGCCCGAAAAATATGCACAAGTGACACATTGATGGATGAGCTTCGACATAAACATTCAGTTTTATTAGCTAATGGTTATCCAGAAAACTTTATCAATTGTCACAGTTAAAAGAAAAACCACATCTCGAAAAGACAGCTTCTGTACCAAAGAGAGCCATTTTTATTAACCTACCATTCAAGGGTGATCAAATTATGCAGTTGACGGCTCAAAGACTTCGGTCAGCTATCAAGCCCACATTCTAAGCTGCATCTCTTCCCCTCACATGCCGAACATTTTCGATGCCTGTACCTACAATAAAAGGACGAAATTCTCTGGACTCTACTTCAAACTGTATCTACAAGTTCACCTGCTGTTGCGATGACACTTATATAGGTAGAACCAGTAGAATGTTCCAATACTGTCGAAGAGAGTATGTTCCAAAAAGGTTTTTAAGACGTAGAAAATCCCAGTGCAATTATTAATCTGAATAGAAATCCAGCATGATCCATCACAAAGCACTTATTAATGTCAGATCACAAAGTCAGTATTAATGACTGCTTCACAATTACTTCATCACATAACTCTAATTCAAAGTTAGTCATAAAAGGTGATGGAAACACTTTGGATTAGTTACATACATCCTAAACTAAACTTACAGTCAAAACAACAAAACTTCAACCTTCGCCTACCATGGACTACTTGACCTATTTAATTTTTAATTTTTTTTTAAATTTTTACTACAGCTTGATGCCACACCGCATTTTTAGGTACAGTTATGGAATTTTCAGCATAGATATCGGTAGCCCAAATTTTGCAGGCCGACCATAGATATCGGGTGTGCGCCGGCAGGGGGTCGAACCCCGGACCATGTGCATGGTCGCCGAGAGTACTAACCACTGTGCCACCGACGCACATGATTGGTCATTAGTATGTATTTTTATTTTCTATATAACTGAGTGATTTTCATGCATTTTATTTTATTATGATTTGTTCAATTAATTTAGGTATATGTGGACAAGCTGTTGGTGTTCGTCTATATGATGTTTTTGATATACTCGGTCGGTATCGATTTCGTTGGAGATCACCTGATATTCTGTTAAACAGTTCATCTTATAAAATGCTAAAATGGCGTCCAGTTAAACTGAAACAGGATGCTTTATACGCAGCACCTCATCAGGTAAATTTTAACTCATGATTTTTACTTTTCCTGTTTTCATTCTGATTTTTATTTGGTAATTTTAAGCATGTAAGTTACAGGGAAAGAAAATCTGTTAGTGTTAGTTACACAATGTGGGAAACTCACGGAAACTTTCGAAGTGAAGACGGGAGTAAGATAAGCTGTCTGTCTACTATCGACAATGATTTTTCTGATTGTGGTAGACTGGATAATGCTACAGACAGCTGCGGGCAGCGAGGAAACAGGAATAGAATGGACCCACACAAGAAAATTAGAGGGTCTGGATATGTCTGATTTCCCACTAACTTGAAGATATGCAAGTGAAAAGCAACAAGTTGACAGAAGAAGCATCAAAGATAGGAAGGATTTCAGGTGAACATAGAGAAAAGAGGTGATGAAGATTCGTGGACAACAACAGCAACAGACAACAGAACCTGAAAGAAACAACCTCCCTCACCTACCCACCTGGGAAGCATCGTTTCAACTACAGGCCAACGGAACTGACGAGGATATCAAAGCAAGAATCGGAAAAGCAAGACAAGCTTTCACTACTCTCAAGTCTGTGTGGAGGTCAGCAGCACTCAACATCAAAAATAACATCCGGATTTTCAACTCCAATGTGAGGTCAGTGCTACTATACTGATCAGAGACTTGGCGCGTCATAAAGAGCATCTCAAACAAACTACACACCTTCATCAATAGCTGTCTTCGCTCAATACTCAAGATCAGATGGCTGGCCAGAAAAGATCAGCAACAGAGATCTCTGGGAGCGAACCAACCAGAAACTGATTGTGAAACAAATAGGCAGGAAGAAATGGAGGTGGATTGGTCATACTCTGAGTAAACAAACCATCAGGTGAGTGATATCACACACCAAGCCATTGCTCGAATGGAACTCGAACGGGAAGTGGCAGGTTGGTCGTCCAAGGATGACTTGGAGGAGGTCATGTGAAGAAGAGATGAAAGCATTTGGGCAGATGTGGAGGCAGGTGATGAAAACGTTGGCAGAGAACCGAACTCAATGGAGACGTGCGGCTGAAGCCTTATATTAAGGAAACTACAATAAAAATAATAATTACACAATGTACTACTGATTGGCAGATATGAGTAGTTGAACACCATTTACATCCACCAGAAGTAATCACTAGCCAGTCATATCAAAGTGATTTTAAAACATGGAAAAGTCATTTCACTCGTTCGAGGTGGAGCTCACCAGCGATGTATCCTGTCTGACCCATCATTCATAACGAACTATTTTTATGCATGATTAAAGAGCTAAAAGCCTCACTTTGCAATTTTTATGACATGAAAAGGTCTTTTTGTAAATGCCTATTTCACTTACATTCATACACACTTGTCTAAATAGGCACATATGAATAGTTTAAGCTAGCGAAAATAACCCACATTTTTGGTTTATTAGTGAAACAATCAATGAGACAGGCAATCATAATAACTTCAGAAGGTAAAGGGTAGATTTGGACTTTCTTGAATATTTGGGCTGAGACAATGTGACCACACTTCTGCTGATGACGTCATCACAGTCATTTTCGATGGAGTTCATCAGTCATGTACCTGGTCTGACTCAGCTCAGCAGGCGGAATCATTTCGAACCATTTGATTTCTATACAGAGAAAAAGAAATCCCCATTTAGATATTTAGAAAACAGAAAGATTGCACGAAGAAATATTTACTTTTCAGTTAGATCTTCATCTCACTCTGGGTCTACTCTAATATACACGTTTAGCATTTTTATCACAATACACAACAATTTACCAATCAAGTGGCACTGATATATTTGTTAACAATAATTATTCAGTGTCAACATGTTAAACAGTGGGGTGATAATTAACGAAGAAAATTAATACACACAATTAAAGCGTAGAAATGGTTACAACACATGGATTGCATAATGCATAATTTTGGAAAAATGAAGAGTAATTAAGGGATAAGTGTGAGCACGGGTTGATAACGTCACAGATTTTTAAAGAAAATAAAACGATTTGGACAACGATAACTTGTAACTAAGGCTGAAATAATAATAAGAATAAAATAATTCGAACAATTATAACTTTTATATCTTTCTATAGTTTGGTTTGTAAGGTTTAACTTTTGTTTTTACGAGTTGGTCACGGATTGATATCAGTTAAAGAACCATTGAAAACCAGCCACAGGGAGTACTGGACAACTGTTTCATCCTAGTTTGGGAGTCATCGGCAGTACGCATCCACTACCACCAGGTTTCGAACCCCATGGCCTTCCGGTTACAAGGCGATCCGGCTCGTATAACATTCAACCACTGGGACCCGATTCAGTGGTCAGACCATGCATGAATTCTAACTTCTACCAATTCGTGACTTAACGCGACCCCAGCCAAAGTCGTCAGTGGGACACCCATCCTCACACGTGACTGGATGGATGGACCTCATTGGTCACGACTTCTCACTAGAACTCCAGGAAACTCCATCCTATAGCAAGTCACTAGCGAGCCGATGATTTCCAAAACTAGGATGAAACAGCTGTCCAGTACTCCAGTGCTGGTTTTCAATGCTTCTCTCGCTGATATCAGTCCGTGATCAACTCGTAAAAATAATTTAATTTTCATAATTTTTAGGGGGAGGGGAGCGAATTAGTCCGGTTTATATATTCATGTGACGATGGCCAAGTTAAGGAAAGTGGCTGTACAGATTTCTTCTGAACACACAGGTCTGCCTGGCTTCTTCATGTGGATTCCTATTACTTCAGCTGTAGGTATGTAGAAGACGAACTCGTAAAGCGAAATTAAGATTAGTAGGAATGCGATAAATAATTTTAAATGCAGTATTAACGTCAACCTTGTGCTCACTATTTACAAGGTGTGTTAAAACAGAGCTGCTACGAATAGATCTTGTTTGTCCCTTGAAACTCCTATGCAGGATGATGTTCAGAGATACAATGATGAACCTGCCTTATTGTACGCCTGATGTAGCTGGCTTCGCAGCTGCAGTCAAACTGGTAGATACACATAGAGGAGCAAATTTAAGTAGGTAGAATAGGGGTGTTCGTGAAGAGATAACGTACCTCTGCTGCATAATAAGCTCTTTAATTAGTAGATTGTTGTGTATTGTAATAAAAATGCCATACGTACATGTAAATTAGAGTGGAGCCAGAGTGAGATGAGGATCTAATTGAAAAGCAGATATTTCTTCACTCAATCCTTTTGCTTTCTAAATGTCTAAATGGGCATTTTTTTCCATATTTTAATTAACATTTTTATTTTTAAGTGGCAATTACTTGTAAATAATTTTCTTGTTTTTATTTATTTGCACTTTCATTCTTCCCGCTTCAATAACTAACAAACTAAAACAAAATCGAAAAAAACATACCGCGAACTATTTAAATGAACATTAAACATTACAAGTCATTACTCAGTGATGTTGGCATTACATTTCATTATGTCCAACCTGAAATGATGTACACTCTGGAATACTTTCTGTATCATTTACGTCCATTGGGGTTGGTGAATGATTTTGTCCAATTACCAGATTATATTTGCAATCAAAAATAGTGTGAGTGAAAAGAAGAAAAGCTGTGACAGAAGCAGCAGCAGCAGCGTCAGACACATGTATATCATTCTGAATTGTTGACCGTCAGATTTCCTTCTTCTTCTCCTTGTTGTCTAGAATGATCTGTACATATCTACTTGTTTGTATGCATATATATATCATGTGTGGATTGATCGATTTCGTCACCAGTATCAGCGAATACATCTGTATTTGTATCTGTATAGTGAGAATAACTTTTTGTAATCCAGTGGCGATGTAATCAAATTGTGTTTTTAAGAGCTTGTATATACTTGTAAACTTGTCAGTCAGGCAAATATATTTATTAAAATGCAATTCTATTATGTATGTCCAAACCAAGTTCACTTTTAACAGTTTGAGCAAATTTGGGCATTGGGTATATCATATTCATTATAATAAAGGTGCTTTTGTATTTCCCAATGAATGAAAAACAAAACGATATTGTCGTTGTGTTTACTGACGTTTCGCTACTTAATGCTGCTGCTAATAGCTTTATCAAAGTATTATTAAACCGGAATTTACAAAATCTCGGCATTTATATAACAAAGAGTTAAGAGGTGAGAAAATAGACAAGTTAGGTCAAGTTAAAGGGGACACATTGAAAGTCAAAATAACAATGAAGATCACTAAACAGATCACTAACAGAGGTAATAGTACATCTGCTATGGTATCAAAATAAAGTTTACTAACTTGATCATCGTTCGTCGGTCTGAGGTCATTTTCCGTTGTCAAGTTGGTCAATTGGTAAAGATAACAAAATCAGGTGCAGATTGTTGGATTTGATCAGTGTGTAAAATTATAAAAGCAGCGTGTGTTTATGTAATGAAAGTGCTTATCACATTCGTGTTGGTTTTGTCACTTGATGGGGGGAGGGAGGTGTTGTAACCAGGTCAGATTCTGTTTTAGTCCATCATTCAGACATTATTCAGACAATTTGTATTCCATTTGATACGAAGGTTTTCTTTGTGGTTCGTGAAAATTTTCTGGATGATTATTTCAATATTGTAAAAGTTAATTTTGTGACCTGATTCTATGGCGTACAGACAAACTATGGCTTCTGATTTTTCAAGCTTTTCTAGTTAAGCCGGATTTCTCGGTGGTCGAACAGATGCAGCGCTACGGTGTTCATTTCCTCTGATTTCGATTACTCACTGGCGATGTTTGTCCGATATTTATCGCATCACATTCCAGGCATTTTATTTTATAGACACAATTAGATAGAGAATATTTAGGGATTTGGTCTTTTATACGGACAAGGTTGTTTTGTAGTGTGTCTGATGTTTTAAAGAAAACTCTAATGTCGAGCTGATTGAGTACTCTTCTGATATTGTCTGAATTCATTATTTAACAACTGCTAGATCCAGTTATATATGTCCAAACCAAATCCACTTTTAACAGTTTGGAAAAATTTGGGCATCGGGTATATGATATTCATTACAATAAAGGTTTTTGTATTTCTGAATGAATTGAAAGAAAAACGATATTTTTGTTTTTACTGACGTTTCGCCATTTGATGCTGCTGCTAATAGCTTTGTCAAAGTAGTATTATTAAGCCAGAATTTTTTGTAAAATCTCAGCTTATAAATAACAACTTAGTTATCGTTCCCTTAAAGATTCTCTATCTAATTGTGTCTATAAAATAAAATGCCTGCTTGGAATGGGATGCGATATACATCGGACTAACATCGCCAGAGAGATATCAAAATCAGAAGAAATGAACACCATAGAACCACATATGTTCAACCACCAAGAAATCCAGTGGAACTAGAAAAGGTTGAAAAATCATCAGCCAGCCATAGGTCGTCTACACGCTACGCTATAGAATCAGGCAACAAAATTGCTTTTGACAATATTGAAATCACCATCCAGAAAAAGCATTTCAGAAATCATAAAGAACGTCTAGCATCATCAGAAGCACTTCATATCAAATGGAATCCAAATTGTCTGAATAGGAAAGATGAACTAAAACAGAATCTGACCTGGTTACAACTCAAATCATAGCAACAAGAGGCAAGCAAAATTACAGATTATAAAAGGGCGTGAGGTTAAAGACAAAGATTACGTAATCAAATGAAAGAGAGAGAGAATAAAGACATCCAGTTACCAGGTGGGCAAGGAAAGACTGTTGATAACTGCTTCTTTCTGAACACATAAATCTGGTTTCAAGCGTTTGATAGGAATTGCTTCGGCAAACTTCAGGAGATTCGAGCTCCTTTGTCTATTGGTAATTTAAAAGCCTTTCGCGATTTCCACCTCATGACCCTATCGAGGAGATGTCTGGTAATAGCGCTATCATCATAAGAGTTTGTTCCCTTGAGACGTAGGCTTTTTCGGCACATGTTTATAAAATCATAGATATGCCCTTCTTTCTGTTCTCCTAATATAACTGCTCCCGCAGATACACGTAAATTTGTATACACACAGTTGGAGTTAACATGAGAAGGATATCTGTCGACTTTTGACTGCATTAGAGAGCATGTTGTTCGATGGACTGGAACCAATGTAGCTGCAGGATAGGCTCTGGCTAGTGACGTACTCAGTCTTCTGTTGACCATTGCTGTGCAATGTTTCCACCTTTAAAGTGTAGTTGAATGAAGACAGGCTTTTTTTCAACTGTGATTTGTTTGATATTTGAGCCTTCACATCTTCCATCTGTAAGCGGCTGATGAGGAGCCAACGAAATAATAGCAATGATGGTACCATATCATTCTGCACAAACCACACTGTTGTTGTTCTTGCTTTATTCAAATTCATCAAGGGGAAGGCTGTGGATGTACATTGCTGAAGAGTTTCAAACTAGAACGATACGAGTGTCCAGTACTCCCTGATTTTTTGACAAAATCAACCCTGAAATTAAACTAAATCCCTACAAAAGTTTGTAATCTAAGAAGTGTTTTTGAATTATAATTTCCCGCACAAATCAATCTTCAAAATTTAAACTACACAACAACAAGACGGATTGACCTCAAGGAGAAATTTCAAAATTTAAATAAAAGAAGATTATTTAAGATGATTGATATGCAAAAAAATGTTAACGACACACGTCATCACATTAGTTTACATCGAAGAAATAATAAAACCATGACAACGGTAAGAGGTTTACACAAAGTAGTGATATTCATTGTTTGGCTTTCCCCTCTCGTATAGCATTATTACTAGTAACTGTAATCATCGCTACCGTTATCATCAGAATTACAGATGCATCAAGATTAGTGAAGTGAAAGATATCAGGTTACAGTTGTGAATAAGCAAAAACAAGTGAGTAAGTCATACAAACCTTGAATAACAAACAGAATACAACGGTGACGACAAAAACAACAAAAACTAAAACAATGTTGTTATGTAGGTTGACATTATAAGACTGACCTAATAAATAAGGTTAAACATTAGATAAATAAATAAGTAAATAAACACGGTAAACATTGTGCCCCATCCCACCTCACCCCATTCAAGTATTATTTATTAATTATTTTTCCCTAATCAAGAGATAAGATTGATTGTAAATATTAGAAGAATAACTGGAGACTTCATATACAAATTCTCTTTTGATAAAACTGAACAAAGATAGAACATTTAGGATTCTAGATATAAAAATAAAATTTGGCCACTGTGGTGGCCATTTTTTATAAATCACACAGTGTGTTATACAGTAAGATTAACTGATGACGTTTCGAGCACAAATCATCGCCACTCATAATCATATCAAGTCAATCACTCACACAACTTTCTTGCTTCATTTTTATACATGAATAAAATTGATGCCATTAGACAACTGATTAAAATGAATATAAGATGACAAAGTACATTCGGAAATAATAATATTAGTGTTATCAATCAAATACAATCAGATGGGAAATAAGACGAGTGTTTTTATAGTCATAATAAGTAACTTGTTAGAATGTTATGATGTATGTGAATTGAAATAAAATTTTAAGATTATTTATTATCCTCCGATTTAACTGGTGGTAATAATATCTTCCATATTTCTGGTATTTGCATTGAGTCATTTCTGTTGCATGTGTTGTGTTGGATGTAGACTCGGTGAAGCAGGCAGGATTCAGTAATCAATCTTACTCCCCACCTACTTATATTACTTTTTAGAATTTTGACTGTGTCCCACCCTATGGTGTGATTGTGTGTTAATGCGTGCATTGCAATTGCTGAGCTTTTTTCTAAATTACTTATCTTCCCGGGGTCAACCATTCTTACCTTAGCTAAATTCTTATGTTCCGGCAATCTCACTACCCTCGACCAACTAGTTTGACCTATGTAGTTGACGTAACTCACAGTCATTGCAAGGCATTTTGTAAATTATATTATTGTGTTTAATTGGGTCCACTGGGTCTTTTAGCCAGTTATGCGGCGGGTACACCTTTTACTTAAACATGAAGTGGCAACGGTGGAGGAAAAGCCTCTGTTTTTACGTCTACAATTCAAGGGAGATATTCCTGCGGAGATTCTATCGCAACGTTTAATCAGTGAGATAAAGAAAATTTTCTATTCTGCAGGTCTCTGTCTATCCTTCAGTAGCCGTCCATTGTTCAACCAGCAGCTGAAAGATGTCTTACTTAACCTTAGCTCTTCTCCATGTATACACCATTTCAACTTTTCCTGTGTTTCAAGTTATATAGGGTGCACGATTAGGCAGGTTCGTCTATGGGTTTAAGAACATTTAGCAGCTTCGGCGGGTGGGTGCGGGAATTAAGTAAATAAAAAGCTCAATCCTGTCACACTTAGTCGATATTGGACATCGCATCGAAGTCAACACAGCTTTCAGGGTTACATACCGAATTCCGAAGTCGTTATCACGTACAGTTTGCTTACGTCTGTTACACATGGCTGAAGCTGTTGCAATAAGATCGACTAAACCGGGACTTTGTATCCGAAAAGAACACATCCAGACGCTGTTCCTCCCATGGCCAAACTTGGATTGATGATCCTTCTTTGCACCAGGAGTGCTTCTTCCCCTTAACCCTCCTGTGCTTTTTTCTTTGCTTATTATTATTCGTCATAATTTATACCCTTCATGCAAACATTCTCTCAATGCTATCGAATTTTCCATTTATACTATCCGGACTTATTATTAGTGATATTATCTCTTTTCTTAATATATGCCTCCAATTGTTTCATTTCACGCATTGGATATTTCATTATGAGCCTGTCATTGCAGTCTTACTATCACCTCCTCTTTAATGTATACTACTTTGTACTAGCCACTCACCTGACACCTTTTATAACCTTAAACTAACTTGTCAACTTTTCCC